CATATGTAATAAATAATCAATAAAGAAATTTTAAAAAGTTTTTAAATTTTAAAAAAAGAAAAATTCACCGAAACCGGTTTGGCTCAGTGGATAGAGCGTCGGCCTGCGGACTGAAAGGTCCCGGGTTCGATTCCGGTCAAGGGCATGTACATTGGTTGCGGGCATATTCCCAGTAGGGGGTGTGCAGGAGGCAGCTGGTCGATGATTCTCTCTCATCGATGTTTCTAACTCTCTATCCCTCTCCCTTCCTCTCTGTGAAAAATCAATAAAATATATTAAAACAAACAAACAAAAAACACCTCGATCCCTGTCAATGCTCCCTGGGGTCAGACTCTGCCTAGCACTTTCCTGCTGTGTGGCCTTGGACAAGTGACTCAGCGTCTCTGAACTCAGCTCCCTCCCCTTTCAAACAGACAATGCCATCCTCCGCGCGTAGCCGTGAAAGCTGAGTGAGCCCATCAAGTCCAACTCTGTGTCTGTTCCTCACAGCCACGGCCTCTGCCCGCCTGCCAACTGCCCGCCTCTCGGGTGCCCCTGTGGGGACCCCCACCACAGACACGTGCCGTGATGCCGCTGGGAACAGGAGCTTGCTGGACGGTGGCTTCCGTCTCTCTCCCAGTCCCTCCTGCCAGGGTCAGCTGGCCTGTGGCCCCGCCTCGGGCTCAGGATCGGGCTCCCGGCCCTTTGGGCGCTGTGCTTGGGAGCCTGCGTTCTGCACACGGTGGCTTTTCTCCGGGAAGGCACCCTGAGCGAAGTCTCAGCAAGTCACGCAAGCGATGGGCAGGGCCAGACCAGGCCCCGGGGAGCCTTCCGGCCCAGGCCCGGCTCTGGCCGCAGGTGACCTCTGCCTGGGCTGCGGGCTCCCCCAGGCCACCCGAGGGCATGACAGGAAGCTGACCCAGCGCACACCCGGCCTCCGGCTGTGGAAGTGACTAAGCCCGTGCGATTGTCGCCAAGGAGATGGGGTCAGATGTCCGCACGGACCCGCAGCTGAGGGCACGGAGCCAAAGCTTAAAAGCATTTTGCTAGCAGGGAATGCTCAGAATGTCTTCCCTCAGGGCCGCGGGAGGCAGCGGGCCGTCTGTACACAGAGGCCAAGGCCCTGCAGGGGCCCAGGGCTCAGGCCCGCCGGGGCACCGGGCGTAACCTGGTCGCTCAAGCTGCCACCACCGTCAGCACCTCGGCGTCACCCTCATCATTCTACCGAGCAGAGGAGCCCCTCCGCCAGGTTAGAGACCAACTGCAAACTCCCTGGTCCCCTCCTTCCCTCTCCCACAAGTTTACAATAATTCTTCTGAATTTTTAAAAATTAAATTGGTTGGGCCGAAACCAGTTTGGCTCAGCGGTAGAGCGTCGGTCTGCGGACTGAAAGGTCCCGGGTTCGATTCCGGTCAAGGGCATGCACCTCGGTTGCGGGCACATCCCCAGTGGAGGGTGTGCAAGAGGCAGCTGATCAATGTTTCTCTCTCATCGATGTTTCTAGCTCTCTATCCCTCTCCCTTCCTCTCTATAAAAAAAATCAATAAAATATATATTTTAAAAAATGCAACATCATCACAGCATCTCCTGGCCGGGGGTGGGAATCCTTCCATCCTGGATGCATCAATGAGGTTCTGAGAGATGGGTGCCTGACTGGGCAAAGCACCCTGCAAGCAATACTGCCTGGAGGGGAGGCAGTTGATCCATGATTCTCTCTCATCAATGCAGGAAGAGCCTTTTAGAAACATTCAAAAACGAACATTACAGCGATGGAGCGTTTACGCCTGTGGCCTGTGCTCCGAGCTCACAGCCAGTCACCGGAGAACAGGCTGAAGCGGAACCTGGAAATAGAGTTTCTGCTGTTTCCTCCCTGTCCCCTTGGAACCTGCCTGTTCTAAGGTCCAGAGCGATGCCTTCTGGAATATTCCCCGGCGAGCTGGCTCCATCACCACCACCTCGGCCTAAGAGCCGGGATCGGGGGCAACGACCAGTCCCATTCACCCCCCCAACCCCAACCCCCCCCCCCACACACACACACCCCACCTGCTCTCAGACACTCAGTGGGAGCGCATCGGAGGATTTGAAGGATTCTTTTGGGGTGTCAGAATCAGCAAACAGCCTCTGCGGAGCAGAGCATGGAGGGCCCGACTCCAGAAGGAGTGGTGGGCGAGAACCAGTGTGGCTCCTGGGCTCCTTGGGTGGGAGGGTGCCGAGTGGAGGAGAGGGAAGTGAGTGAGGAACAGAGAATGTCACCACGGGGAGGAAAATGCTGTCCTTAGAGAGCTGAGCCCACCAGGGTCCCCCGCGCCCTGGGTGAATGGGACTGGGGGCGGAAGTGAGGACAGCCTGGTGTTTTGCCTAGATGGATGCCTATTGCATATTTTGCTGCATTTTTTTTTCCTGTAAGCCCAGGTCATCCCTTATCCTCCCTCCCCTTGGTTCTACGCGGAAGTAACTCAATACCTAAATGTGTGCATTCCTTGGTAAACATTCCAAACCGGAGGTGTGTGTTCGCTGACAGTTTGTTGTGAGCCAGGGGTTAGTATGCCTTAGAGACACGGGGTGAGGAAGGAGACTGGTTCCACCGGTCACACAAGCGGGCCCTCTCGTGCCTGCCAACATGGCTGACAGCCAGGACACACGTGTGCACGTGGACTCCTGCTGCAGTAGGGAGACGGGGAGTCTGGGGTAGCTAGCATCCCTGGGTTTTTTGAAAGGGGGCCAGCGGGACTTGAATTATTTAACTGCATAGGTCTGGCTGCAGATCAGAAAATAATTAGAGGCTTGCTTCAAATAAGAAGAGATTCCCAGCCCGGCCAGTGTGGCTCAATGGTTGAGCCATCCACCTATGAACCAGGAGGTCACGGTTCAGTTCCTGGTCGGGGCACATGCCTGGGTTGTGGGCTCGACCCCCAGTAGGGGGCATGAGGGAGGCAGCTGATCGATGATTCTCTCTCATCATTGATGATTCTACCTCCCTCTGCCTCTCCCTTCCTCTCTGAAATCAATAAAAATATTTTTTTTTAGAAAAAAAGATTTATTAAGGAAAGGAGAACCATTCCCTACAGTGGTCGGCACACTGCAGCCCGAGAGCCACATGTGGCTCTTTGGCCCACTGAGTGTGGCTCTTCCACAAAATACCATGTGCGGGCATGCATGTACACTGCGATTGAAACTTCGTGGCCCATGCGCAGAAGTCTGTTTTCGGCTCTCAAAAGAAATTTCAATCGTTGTACTGTTGATTTTGGCTCTGTTGATTGATGAGTTTGCCTACCGCTGCCTAACCCTTAAGGACCTGTGAGCTGGAGAGACCGCTGGCGTTCAATGGCCAGGTGACTTGTAGAAAGCTCACAGGACCAGTTTAGTTCCACTTTCTAGTATCAGACCCGCCTGGTAGCAGCTGGTTCTCCCCTGCCCAGCTCACATGGGCAACCCGACGATTTCAGCTCCCTGCCAGCTGCCTGCTCTGTACCCAGAAGGGCTCCCGGTCCAGCTGCCTCCCGGTTCCCTCCTCCTCAGAGAAGACCGGGGTGCTCCGATGTGAACATCTTTGCCCTCCACTGCTCTCTGCCCACAATGCCACACTCAGTCTCCTTTCCTGGCTTCCAGCCTCTCAGCAAGGAAAACCCTTGGCTGTGAGGGCCCAGCCAAACCCTTCTCCTGGACCCTGGGCAACCCTCTAGCTAAGCTCTCTTCCCCTCCACTTCCTCCCAGCCCCGCCCCCTCTACCTGCTGCCCGGAGTGATGTTTGCAAAATGCAATTCTGTTCAGTCCGTGCTTTAGACAGTGTGCCTCTTCTCCTCCGTGGCACCAACTACTCCAACAGCTCAGGTGCTCTGACCGCAGCCCCCACCCCACCCCACCCCTGACGGCCTCCAGCCATCACACATACCCTTGCACTCCCTGCCTCAGGAGTGTGAAGCTACATGGAGGCCTCAGGGTCTTTGCATACACACACACACACACACACACACACACACACACACACAGGCCAACCTCCCCCCCTCCTTTCTAGGTGGCGCTTCACTCCTCCTCTTTCATACTCGGTATCCAGGGCAGATTCATCATCATACCCGCGGTTCTCTTTGCTCTCCTGTTCCAGGGAGTTTGCATAATAGGTGACAATGAATGCCCCTGGCCTAGGTACCAGATTGAGATCCTAATCTCTGATCTGCCAAACTAGCCGGGCTTCTTAGCAAACTCCCCCTGAGCCCGGTTCTAAGGCTTCCACTCTCTCTACTCGGCGCCCGCCGTGGATGGCAGGAAGGGGCCCACGAGGAACCAGTGAGGACCCCCTGCCGCAGTGGCAGAGCCAGAACCACCACTTGCCCACCCACCAGACTGGCCCATCAGCAGGCCCTGGCTAGGTAACAAAAGGCTGTGTTCATTCATTCAGGAATAGCCAACCCAATTCAAGGTCAAATCCCCTCCAGACAGCCAGAGGATACACCAGTGAATCATTATCGTATTATTTAGGCCCCGGGGGAATCTTAGGCTAGTGTTTTGCAGCGTTTCCTAAGATGCTGTCTCACTGCTGGCTCACTGAGAGGTGCAGAGAGAGGTGTGCCAGGCCCATGCGTGCGCACACGCTGCTTAACAAACAACACCCCCACCTGGGTCTCCAGGCCCTCCTGGCTTCGGGGTGCGGAGTCATGGACTTCTAGGGACTTTCCAAGTATGTTAGACCCAGGCACCATCTTGCTGGTGGGCAGAGGGTGACCCTAGAAATCACCTTTTCTCACGCGAAGGCGCGCATGGGCGTGCGCTCACTCATGCACACGCACACACATGCACGCGCGCCTCGCACAGGGAAGGCGAGACCTCGAGCCCCACCGTCTCCCTGGAATCCCGCTGACTACTAATTGGAAAGTCCGGCACCCCAGCTTGTCAGCGCCTGAGAAAGACGAGCCGGGCCGGGGGGGCGCTGCGCCTTTAAGGGGGCGGGGACGACCCGGGCGCCAGGGACCCTGGCCCCGCCCCCAGGACTCGGCCCCACCCCCGGCCCCGCCCCCGGCCGCAGCCTCTCCGGCCACCGCTGGGCAGCGGGCGGGACGCGGGGGGCGGCGCGCGCAGGAGGAAGCGCGCTGGGCCGCGGCCCCGCAGCTGCCCAGACGCCGCGTCGGGAACGCCGGCCGCCGCCTCCCCACTGCCAGGTGCGCGGGGCTGGGGGCGCAGTGCCGCGGTGGCCGCCGCTCGCGAGCCGGCATTTCCTCCGGAACCTGATCGCCCCGCCCGGCCTCCAGGCTCCCTACTCCCGGCTCCGCGTTCCGCGTCCCGGGTCCCGGGCCCGCTCTGCCCGCCCGCCCGGCGCCCCGATCCAGCCCGGGACGCCCCTTCACGCCCCCCGGGCCGGCCCGCGCGGGCCGATGTCCTGAGCTCGCCGCCGCCGCGCGCCCCGCGTCCCGCGTCCCGCCCGGGCCGCCCCGGGAAGTTGGGCGAGGCGCGCGGGGTATGCGCCATCGCCATGTCCCGCCCGGACTCGTGGCTCGGTGAGGTCCAGTGGCTGGCCCTGGTGTCGCTCTTCGTCGTGGCCTTGGGCACGGTGGGCCTGTACCTGGCGCAGTGGGCTCTGGCCGGAGCGCGAGCCCGGCCCCCGCGGCGCGCGGCGCAGCCCGGCGGGGAGGACCGGCGCCCGGAGCCGGAGCCGGAGCCGGACGTGCTGCTCTCCTGGATCCTGAGGCTGCACAGCTGGCGGAGCCAGTGGCAGGCCGCCTGGGTGGCCGCCCTCAACCAGGAGGCCCGGCGCAGAGGGGTGAGTGTCTGGGAGGGCGTGGCGGGGCCGCGGGCCGGGTGCGGCTGATGGTGGGGTGCGTGTGTCCTCCGGAGCCTCCCACAGCCCAGGACGGGAGGGTCCTAAGTGCGCCTTCCCTGTGGGAGGGGGACCCTGGAAAGTTGGGAGAAAGACCCTGGAGTGCGGACCATCCCTGATGGGAGATCCAAGACAAAGTGACTGGACCTTTTTGGCCACCGAGGAGGCGTGTCTGGCCGTGGGAGAGACTTGTCAGAGGGGCCCTCTCTCCTTCCAGCTCTGATCAGCCCTTCCCCGAGTCCCGGGTGGATCCTGGTTCCCAGCTGGACACTTTCTGCCTTTGTGCCTGATGTATGAATAACTGTGACCCACATATGCTTCCATCTATAGAGCTGGGTTTCACCAGGAACGGACTTCTAAGAGGTCTGCGTGCATCCCCTGGCAGATAAAATGAGTGGCCGCTGAGAGCCAGCCACTTGCAGACGTTGTATCGGGGGCTGTAGGGGTACACGTGCTGTGAATGCTCACAACGCCTGTGCCTGTCCGCAGGCCAGAGAAGTTAGGCCACCCGCCCAAGGCCACACAGCCTGTGCTTCGCTGAGCTGGGATTGGACTCCGGCTACCTCCTACCCCAAACAAAGCGCAGGGAGGGGGCTTGTGAGCCAACTGCTGCCCCACGCTGCTCCTGTGGTCTTGTTCCTTCCGTAGTGAAGGACGTGGTGACTTTATTTTTACTTTTAAAAATAAAAGTAAAAATAAAGTCTTAGTTGAATGACAGGTTTCTGGGAAGTCCCCGATTTCTGGGCATTCCCGCAGGAGGAATGAGTAGGGCCTGGGGTGGGGTTGAGGGGGGTTGGGGGGTTGGGAGGTGCCTCCCAGCCTTTGCCTGTCCTCCTTGCTTTCATGGCCCTGCACCTGCCTGTGCAGCTCGGGGGAGAAGCCTGGGACCTTGGCCTTGGGAATGGGGAATGCAGTGTGCCTGTCCCTGAGCAGCTGGGGCCTGGACTTTGCATCTCGGGCTTGACAAACAAGAAAGCTTTGCCTGTACATGACCGCCCATCCAACAACTCTGAAGTCCCGTCCTGTTTGGAACCGTTGAAAACGGATTGTGCCTTTTGGCTGAACAAGGGCTGCAAGGTCAGTTGACTGCCAGCTGTCCTGGTGCCTAGACAATGTGTCCCTGCTGTTCAGAGCTGGGCGTCTCCCGGTCGGGGACACCCCCCACCCCGACCCCATTTCTTGTGGGAGCCCCAGAGCCCTGTGACCTCACACCTGGGAGCACACCCGGTGCTGTCATCGACCCCTGATGGAGCCGGGGTCACAGGCCAGGCTCTGGGGCCGCGCGAGTCCACTTTGGTTGGTGGCGGGAGCAGGGGCGAGCCTTGTCCCTGTGCCTTTAACTCTCCAGGGAGTGCTGGGTGCATGGTCTGCAGGGTCTGGAGGCGGTTCAGGCACGGAGGCGGGACCCAGTCTGGCACATGTGAGCTGGGGTCACCCTGCTTCACCCGCTCTGCCTCGTTCCCTGGCATTCCTCCGTTGGCTTCGGAGAATGGGATTGCCTTCGGCACCGCTTCCAGGATGCCCCTGCGCCCAGGGTGGTGCACGCTCCTCCGGAATGTCTGGTTGGTCAGGTCCAGCTGAGAGGGCCTTGAAGGACCTGGGGGTTTCGAAAGAAAGCCTTTCACCGGATCCCTGAGTCTGAGGGAGCTAGGGAACTCTGTCTGGGGAGTGAGCGGAGACTGGCTGCTTTGCGTTCTCCCTGTTCTGTCTGCCGCTGACCACGCGCTGCGGTGTCTGGCCCTCTGCGTGTCCACGCTCCCGCAGGAAAGGCGCCGTGGTGGACGGGGCCCAAGCTCAGAGCGTGGCAGAGACCTCCCGGACCGCTGGTCTGCATCTGAGCGTGCTCCCTGTACCTGCCCAGTGCTGCTCGGTTTGAACTCAGCTGGAAGGTGTTGCGGGCAGATAGGATCTGGGGAACTCCCTGCTACTCGCTTGTCACACGCCCTCCCTGTCCCAGGCCCCGCGGGGGCAGCGCGGATGACAACAGGGGTGAGCCGGGCGGGCGTCTCCGGTGGCTGTCCTGGCCCGCAGCCCGCCCTGCAGCCTCTCACTGCCCTCCCTCCAACGCGGCTCCCCCTAATCCCGGATTAGGGCTGGCGTTCTGTGCCAGAGAGGCCGGGAGAGCCGCAGCTTAGCAGCCCCTCTGGCCCCGTCTCTCTGCCCTGGCCAGGGAGACGCCCACTTCTCAGCCTGTCCCTGGGGGCTGGGGGCACCCTGGAAGTCACAGTCATACCCAGCGTCCTTGTGGAAGGCGGGATTCTCTGTCGAATGGAGAAGGGAACTTCTGAATTCTGTCTCACCCTGACTTTGCATTTTAAGGCCAGAAGGGATCCGAAACTCACCTTTCTTCTGCAGAGCGGAGCCTGAGGCCCCAGAGCTGCAGAGACTGGCCGGGACGGACCCAGATCCCGGTCCAGGTCCCCCGCAGGCAGGACGTTCGAAGTGGGGGCCCGTACAATCCCTTTGACGGAGGCCCAGCAAGAGGGGATAAAAGGGTTTGGTTGCTTTAATGCTTCGTCCCTAACCGTGGGCTCCTTTCTCCCGGGACCGGAGGCCTGAGCACCACCCGGTGGAGCCTCCTGTGACTCGGGGTGACCCGTGACCGTGGCAGTGCAGGCTCCTCCTGCCGGATGGCCTGTGGTTCTGACCCTTCCTCCGACACTATTTTTAACTTAGACGGGATGGTGAGTTGGAGAGACAGGGAGGAAACCGTGGCCGGAGGCTTTGCCAGCCGGCCGGCCAGATGCCAGGGGTTCGGGGAGCACAGGTGACTGGCCCAGAGAGCTCTGAAAAAACGCACGCGCCTCCCCCTGCAGTCCGGACCTAGCAGGTCGGCGGGGGTGTGGGCATGTTTCCCCATTCCCCCAGGCTGGCTGCTCCTCACAGAGAGATGCTGCCTGGTCCACGCCAGGCTCCAGGCCACTGTCCGCCATTCACCCCGCAGCCCCGCTCCGCACGGATGTCCCAGCATCTGATCCCATTCATCTGTCTGATCACAGCTCAGTCATGAAGACAGGGCGCCCGGAACCCCCTCCGTCACTGACTGGGAACGAATGCCTGTTATCCAAAAGCAACCCTGAGGCTTTCCCTCTAGTGTAAGGTGACCAGATGTCCTGCTTTCAGCAGGACAGTCCCTATTTTTAACCATTTGTCCCGCGTCCCGCAGCGTTTTAAAAAAGTCCCCATTTGGGACAAATGGTTAAAAATCGGGTCTGTCCCGCCGAAAGCGGGACGTCTGGTCACCTTACTTCAGTGCCCCTGCATAACACTGGCCAGGGGACTTCTTGAGCCTCGTGGAGGTACTGTGCTCTCTGCTCAGACGTTTACGAAATGGTTTGCCACAATAGCCCATTCCCCCAGCGATGGCCCACACCCCGGGCACCCGCGGGGAAGCTCCGGGGCTTGCTGTGCCCATAGCAGCTCGCTGGCTCTGAAAACAGCCTGGCGAGGCCTGCCGGGGAGCTGGACAGCGCCTCCTGCCCAGGCGGGTGCCCATGCAGGGTGGATATCGACCCCAGAGCGGGGGGCCGCCGCCATCTAGACTGGTCCAGCCGTGGGCTGCCCTGAAGCAGGTTGCTTCTTTCATCCTCTGCCCTGGGACGTTCTAGAGGCAGATGACCAAGGTTGTGGGGCAGTGTGTGGTTTTCAGGAGACAAGAGGAAAGATGCTGTGTGAACCTAGAGCATGTTACTGCCCTGTTTCCCCGAAAATAAGACAGTGTCTTATATTAATTTTTCCTCCCAAAGTTGCGCTAGGTCTCATTTTCAGGGGATGTCTTATCTTTCCATGCGCTAGGTCTTATTTTCGGAGGATGTCTTATTTTCGGGGAAACACGGTAGTAGCTCAGTCTTGTAGACGAGCTTCAGCAATTCAAAAAGTAAACCACGTGCTGAGACTGCAGAGTTTTCCTGTTATGTAATGAGCTCCGAGGGGTGCTCACAGAGCCCAGACTCCCGGCCAGCGACAGTGGATAGAACATTGGCCTGGGAACTCAGGGGTCTCAGGTTCGATTCCAGACAAGGGCATGTACTTTGGTTGCGAGCACATCCCCAGTAGGGGCTGTGCAGGAGGCAGCTGGTGGATGTTTCTCTCTCATTGATGTTTCTAACTCTCCCTTCCTCTTCCTTTCCCTTCCTCTTTGTAAAAAAATCAATAAAATATAGTAAAAAAAAAAAAAGTCACTTGGCTAGAATGTGAAGTCCACCTTGGAGGAGGGACCTGAATGAGCCACTTGCCTGCACCCTCCTCCCCAAACGGGTCTCCTTTCTGTTCCTTGAACATATTCCCTGTGTCTCAAATACTTAGTAAACCTTCTTCTTCTTCTTCAACTTCTATTATATAAAGCTTTCCGAAGATCCCTGGTCCTCTCATTTGCCAGGGCGCTGCCCCACCCCCACCCCAGCCTCCTGTGCTTGTCCCAAATAGCACTGGCACCTTGAGCTCACTGGTGTCTCCTGGAACTGTAAGCTGGTCCAGGGCCCTGTCTGCCCTGGCACAGCCCACCCAGGGCCCAGCACCAGGCTGGCTCGGCGCAGCGGGCGCGGGGGGTGGGATGAATGGCAGGGCCTGTTAGAAACTTGTCACCGGCAGGGAGAAGCAGTGTCCATGTCCCATCTGCATCGCCCCATCTGGACACAGGCCTTCCCTGCCTGGGAGCCAGCCAAGCCTGGGCGAAACAAGCCGGTTAATGCGCTTTGTGTTTCGCTTCTAAAGAATCAACATTAAAGCAGGCTCCCTGATGACTTTGCAAATTGTCCGTGTGAAACACGGGAGTGGGCGCCGGTTCAGGCTGTTCCCTGCGCTACCCGTTCTCCCAGGGAGACCGGAGCTCGGAGGAAGGAAGAGTGGGTGTAGTGTTAGCTAAGATGCAGCCAAAGCTAACTTGACTCCCACCGGCCCCCCGGGGGCTGCTGGGTTGGGAGGGGACGTGGAGGAGCTGTGCT